CGGAGCTGCGTCCCCGCCCCGGAGGAGAGACCCCTCGGCTCGACGCCTCGCGCGCCTCCCGGCTGCTGGGGCAGCCTCTGCGCCGCCGGCACCATGAGGTGAGGGGCGCGTGGGGCGGGGGCCGGGCAGGCCATTGTGCTGCGGGAGCCGCGACCCCCGCTTCCCGCGGACCCCGCCTTCCTTCTCCCGGCCCAGCGCGTCTCCCCCAGGCGCGGGTCTGTTCCTCCCCCTCCCCCTTTGTCCCTTCTCATTTCTTTCTTTCTCGTGAGCCTTCCCGAGCCCTCCGTCTTGGGGGTCTCGCTCCTGCGTTCTCTCCTTTTCTCGAACGCTCTTCTTTCGCCCAGGAATTCCCTTCCGAAATGTAATTTGCGCCTGGCTCCCTCCCCCCAGCGATTGCAAGCAAAACCCTGGAGATGGGGAGGGGTTCTAGAACCGAAGCGTGCATGTTACTGGGAAACAGGTATTTTTCTGTCTCGATGCAAAAATCCTCTGCACTTCGGGCACAAAAGTCTCGCGTTTAATTAAAAAAGGAAGAAAAGTTTGAAAGGTTCGAAATCTCTGCGGGTAAAAGTGCCTCTGGTAGGGGTAGGTGAAGGAGCCGTGAAAGGTGAAATTTCACGATGGTGGGGGAAGGGAAATAATTTATTAGGTTTACATGGAGGGGCAGTAAAAGGCTGGGATAAGTAAGTTGTTAGGGGTGTGTGAGCGGGGGCGGGGGAGGGATTTGTTTGGAAAACCCTTTTCTCCCCTTTTCTGTAGCAGCCTGTGTTGCATTGCAGCAGCTGCTTTTCCCCTTTCCTCTGTGATCAATAAAACAGAAGCGAAATTATTTTTGCAGCCCTAAAAGGAAAGAATTGAATGTACCGTCGTAACATATTTTTAATTGATACGATGAAACATATGGTGTGATATTTCTCTTTTTTGTTTCTCCAATTGTGTAGGAGAATAAACCATGATGTGGTGTATGTCATTCATTGGAGATTTTTTTTTCAGCCTTTCCTAAGCCTGTTTTGTGTCCATAACCTTCTCTTTTCGGATTGGTGCAAGACTTCGTGAGAAATGGGACTTGGTAGACTGAAGGCTGATCCATTCTGCGTTATCATCCTTAAAGGCCTTCCTTTTAGGTTAAACAATTGTGGATAAAGTAAATTACTCCATTTCTCCTCCTGGAAGAGATAGTCTTACAGTTCATTTGGATTTGAATCTCCTTTGTGTTAAAGATTAATGGCCAACCATTGCCAAGACCTTTATAATGTAATACAATGAGATTTGAATGATATAATCTACAAATTCCTTCGCTTTGGCAAGAAAATGTCATGTCATTGGAATTCTTTCTCAATTTTTGTAGTATCCATTTTAAACTTTAGGGTTTTTTTTTTTCCCATCAAGGCTGAACTTGTTCTCATTTTGCTTTCTTATATATATACTTTGTGATATAGCTGTGTTGTGTTTTCACTTACACTTAACTGTGAATTTGAATTTTTTTTTTCTCTGATTCCAAGTTACAGACCTTTATTTATGGTGGCCTTAAAAAATGAATTTAATGCTGTGTCTCTAATTGACCCTTTTTTCCTTGGTGATTTCACACAAGTTATTTTCAAATCTACTGGATAGTTTAAAAAGTAATTATGGGATACAAACCAATAAAACATAGTCTTTGTAAAATATACCCTGGAAAACTTTAGTCAGACGTTTGAACATTTTTTTTTTAAAATCAAGTTACTGATGTCCTTGAAAACTCAGCAACTTGAATAAAATATACATACTGTTATAATACATGTATTGTTGATTTCTACTTTAGAGATTTAATGCTATAGGGATTTTGCACACCAGAGATTACCACTAGTCTCAAACTTCAGGTAAATTTATCTTAACAAATGAGAAGTGTAAAACAATGATAGTGGATTATTTTTAAGTAAAGATGTTCGTAGTTGTCCAATTCAAAGGTTGTTAACCCTTCCAAAAGTTCAAGTTTTGGGTATTCAGTAATGTTTAATCACTGTCATGTATAGTTGTCAATCTGTCACAGGTAAATTATGTCTTTACTTAAAAGTTCCTTTTCTAATAAAGAGTAACCTATTTTTAAAGCTCTTTTCTTGCTCAGTTCCTTATTAAGTGTAGAGAGAGGAATCACACTGATATTTTCTGGTGGCATAAATATAGAACATGGTACACAGGTCTGAAAAGTTTGTTTAAGCAGTCTACAGTAATTCTTTGTAGGCTAATTTTGAATAATTTAAGAGCAGAAAAGAGGATCAGCTTTTCACTTTGGAAGGAATTGGATTATTTGGTAGGTGGTTTGTGCAACTCAGGTTGTATGCAAATTTGCTTAGATACCTGTAAAAGTAAGTTTGTCTAGTAAGGGATAGAAGGTTTTTGTGCTGGCTACAAAACAGTTTGGGATATTTTGGAGCTTCAGAAAGGGCTTTTCAGGTTGCATTAATATGTGCTTGGTTTTCATGATGCTTTCAAGTACTGTAGGACATAAACGTTAGCTTTTTAAATCGAGTCTTTTTCAGTTATATTAAGGGGTAGTTCTGATGTTTCAAAGGCCATCCAGAAATAGGAATACCTGGGTAGGAATTTCAATTCAAGGTGGTCAGAATTCTGAAAAGAGGATATGATGAATGTGTAACAGTATAAGTATTAGTAGTATCTCTCAGATTATTTTAATTTTAGGAATAGCACTGAATAATACTTTACGCTTCTCAAATTTACTTGTTAATATTTTGCTTAAAGTTAAAGATTTAAAAAATGAAAAAGTCTATTACATAGAGTAGTGGAAAGGTTGGGATCCCCCCAAAAGTACTTTTAGTGTCCCTTCTATTTGATTCTATTCTTACTTTTCATTTATGTAATGTTTCAAAAGTATAAGACGTTTTGTGATTGAGGATATGTGTTGACGTGTATAAAATATAGTGTATGCCTTTTATGTGATTACATTTTTAAAATTAGTTATTTACTCAGGATCTTTTTCTACAGAAAGGGGAGCTTGTCTGATCTAGTTGCATACGCAGATTTTGTATTGACATTCTTGGATTAAATAGTCAAATAGTCTAGGCTTCTGCTAGCTCTTTTGACTTTCTCATGTGAAAATGTGTAATAGAGTTGTGAGGATTTGTTCAAGCCACTTACTAACTGGGTGACCTTGAGCTAATCACTTTATTTCACTAATGTATTTTTAAAAAAGATGTAAAAATAAGCAGGGCACGATGTCTCTCACTCCCTTTCCCAGCACTTTGGGAGGCTGAGATGGGAGGGTTGCTTGAGGCCAAGAGTTTGAGACCAGCCTGAGCAACATAGACCCTGTCTCTAACAACAAGGACAAAAAATTAGCTGGGTGTGGTAGTGCATGCCTCTAGTGCTCGCTGCATTACAGGACTACAGAGGACTGAGTTGGTATCACTTGAACCCAGGGTGTTTGAGATTGTAGTGAGCTATGATTGTGCATTCCAGCATGGGCGACTGAGTGAGACACTGTCTCTTAAAAAAAAAAAAAAAAATTGATATAATTCTTTTCTAGGTAGTGAGGGTCAAATGATAACAGAAGAAAAGGTGCTTTGTCAACTTCTAAGCATTAAACAATTATGGTTACTCCTCTTGTTTCAAGGCCTAGTTCTATTTTAGAATAATTGGGTAAAACTTTTGGGCATTGGCTTTACCTTTGGGCCTTATTTAGCTCAAAGATGTCAACTATGGTACGTCTTGCTTATATTATAGGTGAGGAAGCCATTTCCTTCCAGTGTGTATGTTTAGGGTCTTTGAAATATGATTTTCATTTATGGTAATGATAAGTTTAGTATACATTTTAGAGTGTAGTACATTCGGGAGTCAGAAGATCCACATTTTATATGCTGACCTATTAACTGAAAAAACTGGTTAAAAAATGGAGATAATATTATTTCACGGGATTGTTGTGTTGAGTGTCAAGGGAGATATCCATGAAAAGATACAAATAGTAGTCTCTTTGTTCCCATGGGTCTTCATTTATACTTGTAGTTGTTGGATGTGTGACTTTCCCACAGAGGTTTATTTTAAGGGCAAGAGCCAAATCTTCTTTTTTTTGAATGTCAGTATTGAATTGTATGTAAGTATTTACTAAGTGAATAAATCTTGAATAAGAATGTGGATTAATAGAGAAAATTTACTGACATTTATACAGTACTCGAGGCTGGGGATACCTTGTTAGCCCTGTGGGAATAAGCAAAATAATTAGGCAGGCCCCATTTGGCTGGTATAGAAGAAATTATATGCTGGATTGAAGGTTTTGGTAATTTATCTTACACACAGCTTAAAACAGGGGTGATTGTTTAACTTGTAAAACATCCAGTTTTTATGATGAGTGTAAGAAAGATTTGGAAATTGTGATTTCAATTTTTGTGCCAACTTAAGCTTGTCTTTTCCTCTTTTTTCCTCTCTCTTTGAAATTGATGGATGGAATTAAGTGGAAGTAAAAGTTAAAGAGAGAATCTGAGTTTAGGCTCTGCCTCTGTAGATGCTTCTGCAAATAAGGGTTTCTGAAGTTTTCTGGACAAGAAACAAGAAAAGAATTCCTTGTCCCTCCTTCTGGGAAGTAGCCCCTGATTTTTCTAATACTCCCAGTTCTATTCGTGTGTGTTCCAGGCACTCTGTATTTTTTGTAATTGCATTTACTATTCTATTTTATAATTATATGGATCTTTTTGTCCGTCTTCATTGTAAGTTCCTTGAGGACAGAGACTGCATTTTAATATTCACAGTACCAGCAAAATACTTGGCAAATAGTGGGCGCCTACATAAATATTTGACTTTGACTGCAGTGTTCTTTTGTAGAGTTTATTCAGTAACGATGACAGTAATGTTCTAGAAGCTGTGCTGGGTATTTTAGAGTGTAACTTAGTATTTGGTGGATACTAAATGTTAATAAAGTTATTTAATGAAATAAACAAACAGATAAAACCCAGGATCCTGACTATAGGAATAGGTGTCGAATTTGTTTCTTATTCCTATACAAAGCTCAGAAGTGGTCAGAGAGTCAGACTTAGGTTTGTCTAACTCCAAAGCCCTTTGTAGGTAGTTAATTTATTATTAAATCCTGAATTAATAGAAGTGCCATTAT